GAAGACATTTACACTCCATCTAAGGATAGACACTACAGAAGACATTTACACTCCATCTAAGGATGGACACTAAAGAAAACATTTACACTCCATCTAATGATGGACACTAGAGAAGACATTTACACTCCATCTAATGATAGACACTACAGAAGACATTTACACTCCATCTAAGGATGGACACTAGAGAAGACATTTACACTCCATCTAAGGATGGACACTAAAGAAAACATTTACACTCCATCTAAGGATAGACACTACAGAAGACATTTACACTCCATCTAATGATGGACACTAGAGAAGACATTTACACTCCATCTAATGATGGACACTAGAGAAGACATTTACACTCCATCTAAGGATGGACACTAGAGAAGACATTTACACTCCATCTAATGATGGACACTAGAGAAGACATTTACACTCCATCTAAGGATGGACACTAAAGAAAACATTTACACTCCATCTAAGGATGGACACTAAAGAAAACATTTACACTCCATCTAAGGATAGACACTACAGAAGACATTTACACTCCATCTAAGGATGGACACTAAAGAAAACATTTACACTCCATCTAAGGATAGACACTACAGAAGACATTTACACTCCATCTAAGGCTCGGGGAACATGGTATGGCAGAAGATGGAGCAGAGTGAATCTAAGAGCCAGAACACGAGAAGGGCCATGACATTTTTCTTCTGGGCACGGCAAAGTTAGTCAATGAAATCAAAATGTCATAGTAGCTATGGTTACTTGCAATGGGCCAACACAAGCCTGGACCCTCAATGTTCACTCATGGAAGAGTTTAAAGGACTCTATCCTTTCCCCATGAACTGTCCACTGGAGAATTCTGGGGGAAGAGACATCATTGTCTTCAGTTGTGTGCCCACTGAGAAGCCTCCGGCTCCAGCTGTAGTTCCAGAGCCATGGTCACGTGATCTTGAGTAAACTCAGTAGCTCTAAAAAAAAAGTCATGAGAATAAGAAGGGGACTTTTAGGAAGAAGGGAAAGGGTGAAAATGGTGGAGAGAGAGTATAGAGGGGCTATAATAATCAGAATGCACATTATACATGTATGGTATTATCAAAGAAAAATTTAATAAAGGGTTTAAAAAGCATACCGAAATTCCTTCTGTACATATAGATTGGATAAATTCTGAAGTCCTGGCTTTTGAACTATTTATTCTACCCACTCCAAAGCAAAACAAGAGGCATTTGACCCACTACTGGGTTTCTCTAGTAACAGCCGTTCAATGGCTGTGCTCGAGTACTTATTTACACCGTATTGGGAAATGGGAAAGAGCTCCTAAGGATGGGCACATTCAAAGTGACATGCCACAATATGAGAAGGAGTATCAGCAATTATGCCACACTGGGAGGACAGATGGGCCCAAGCAGGGCCATACGTACGGTCAGAGAGGCCAGCAAAGCCACAGCCACACACAGCTTCAGGCCCGCCCAATTTAAGTGCAACTCAGGAGCAGTGGGATGCTCTTTAGGAAGCTCCAGAGAAAGGAATGTCTTGATCAATGTTTTCTTTAAGTTCCACAGGTTTGGTAGAGACAGAATACCCAAGAGTACTCCAGACTAGGAAGAGCAGCTGGAAGACATGTCGGAGGCCTTGGCAAGACAGGGGTATCGGGGAAATGGGCGAGAAGTACTGGAGCCCAGAATATATTTCTCTCTTGCATCTGGTGGAGGATATTTACGGGGAACACAGGGCATAGTGAAGGTGAAGGCTGCCCTGGGAAATGACAAGAGGGGGGCCTGGACTGGAATGCGGGAGGGGACCAAGGCTCTAGTTTCAAGTAGCTGGAACCGGGATGCATATTTTGTTTCTTCGGTGTGTCTGCGTCATTGTGACATGCCGAGGATGCGGGTGGAGAGCTCAGTGCTGGATTTGCCAGTGTGGCAACTATGATACTGCTGCTTGTGCTTACAGCTAGAATTGGATCCGGTGGAGGTGACAGCTTGGAGAAGTGGGCCTAGGACAGAGCCCTCAGCTTTCTCTCCACTGAGAATTTGAAAACAGAGATGCAGTCATTAGAGGAGGTGATGCGGTTGGAGGAAAACCACTCCACAAGACTTAAACAGAAACCACAAGGACTAAACAAGAGTGGTGCACTCTGCTGAGGCAGGGCTGGTGGCACTCAGGATGAGGATGGAGGGAAAGCTGTCACACATGGCAGACAGGAAGCATGATAGAGGAGGAGAGCCACTGACAAGCATAGCCTCTACACACGCGTTAGAAGATATTAACACGAGGCTGTTGCTGGCTGCAAAGGCAGGGCAGGGGTGTCAGAAAGCACATGACGGTGTAAGAGGACCAGAAATGCTGATGGAGGTTTGAACACTTGTGCTTATGATTCAGTGGAGAGGAAGAACTTGATGGTGTATACTGAAAGAGGGAGTCAAACGGGAGGATCAAGGAGCACTCAGAACATGAGCGGGACCTCCCCACCCACCACAACCAGGAGAGCCATGGTGTACTTAGACGCAGGGAGGCTGATGTATTTGAAGGCATTGATAAGAGATCATTCAGAGACAAAACAAAAACCACAATATATTAGGAGATACAAAAGCTAGTGTGTATCAAGTGTCTTATGAGTATATGCAGATATTTTAGCATCCTAATGAAGAATAAGGCAGTGGAGGGGAGGATTTGAGATATATCTTGCATGGTGTTCTACCTGCTTGAAAATAGATTTCTGAGTCACTGTATATTAAACCCTGCATGCTGGTTATTGGTGATGTATTGGTCCAATCACTCTACTGTGTTAACCCCATATGTGTATTCCCTGACAAATTTCATTCTGCAATCTCTTTTTTTTTCTGTACCCTTGGTCTCCAGACTGCACTTCACGGTGTCAGCACTCATCCGTTCCATATCTGTACATGGCACATAGGTCTTAATGTCTATCAAATGCATGTTAAAACTTTGGGACAGGGTCAAGTATCTTATAGTAAAATATCACTGTCTCTCTCAATGCGAAAAATCTCATATTACATATGAGGTAAGTATTCGGTATCTGCTTGTTGACCAATTTATCTTTTTAGAGTTGAATGGCTAATAAAATGTTTTATGTAGCAATTCCTCAGCTAATAGAATATGCACAATTCTTCTCGGCACCTGCTGGGCATTTCAGGGAGACGCTGAAGTCATTCATCAATTTTCTCCTTTATGTGTTATTCAATTAGTTTGTCTAGGGTGCAATCCAGAATGAGTATCAATCAAGAGCATAATAGTAAGTTGTGTGCAAGCTCTCTCCATACCAGTGGTCTGCATGCAATGTCTCCCATTAAGGGCTTCTGTGCAGACATGAGTAGAGTCACATTCACAATCTGCCATTAGGAGAATGCAATATGAAAAATGTGGAATTACTCAGGGCTGCTGTTTTCTGTAACACAGTGATGAATTTGAAATCAATTTGGTGATATACTTAATGAACAAATCATGTTGTTACTATAATTAGAGAAGAGTCATGAACACAGTCTATCTTGTATTCTCTTGGATTAAATAGTCTGCACTTAGTACTTTGTGCACATTTCTAGTTTGATGACTTTTATGAAGCATATATTTAACTCTTATGTTAATTCTTAGCACTTAAGGACGACTAAGCTGTTTGGACATATTAGAGTCAGCTTGCAAGTACTATATGCATATATTTCTTATAGTTAGTAACCACACTATCATACAATAATGACCTTTACTTTTGTTCAACAGGCTACTGAGGCAAGCTAGTGAGTTATCAATCCAAATAATATTTAATAAAAGTCCCACAGTTTTGTGGAAATAAGTAACATTAATTTTGTAATTTTAAAAGTTATTTTTAGACCTGAGTCTCAAAGTAACCCAGGTAATCTTCCAATTCTCTATGTAATAAAAGGTGAACTTGAACTTCTGATCCTCCTGCCTTTGCCTCCTGAGTGCTGGGATTTGCAGGCATGTACCTCCCACCATGCCTGGTTTATGGTGGTTGGGGATCAAACCCGGGACTTCATCATGCACGCATGCTAGGCAAGCACTCTGCCAACTGAGTCATTCCCCTAGTCCAACTGTTATGATATTTTATCATCCTATGTAGAGCTATTGACAAGACGAACTATTCTGTTTGTGCAATACTCACGTTGACAAAGATCAAATCAAACATAATAAAATATGTTAAGAGAAAAAAATTTACACTATATGCAACCTATGATAAAACATTATTAGGCATGTTTCTTGATTAAATTAGCATTAAGCAATATGCTGGTGGAATCTCTCAAAACATTTGCATGAAACATTGCAGCAGAAATCTGGCGAATTCAGTGTGACGCATGTAACCCTTCAGAGAAGTCAGTGTTCAGTACTTGTGCCTAAAGCCTAAAACTGGATGTGAGCAACCGTAAGCCACTCCAGCTCCTTAAGGTCTCTGTCTACCCCTCTGACACAAGTGGACTTTTTCATACTGCTATTCATCCCATAGAATAGATTCTGAGCAGTGATAAAATAGCAGCGTTTATACTGTTCATTGAAAGAATAAGTCCAGACAACTTAGAAGTAATTTTACATTTAACAACAAATTGTTATTCATTGACACTTCTGAGGGTTCTTGGACAAAGGAAACAATATATACCACTAAGAGTCATTTTTCATTTTTTAAATCACCAATAACAAAAATATACATCTTTCTCTGAAAACACTTTTCTTCCCCACAGAGGCAACATACCCTAAAATGGAGATTAATAAGCAATTAATGGCTCAGACTTAACTCAGTATTGCAAATCTGCTAGTATAATACCTTGCTAAATATAAGAATTTTAAGAGCCAAAAATTTAAAGACTTTGATGTGTGTAAGATCAATAGACGTGACTTATCACTATTTAATATGAGTTTTAAATTTTAAATGCCATGTTCCAGTGGAAAAAAGTTTACTGCACAGGAAAATTGAAATTCCAAGAAAGAATCCATACAAAAGAAACAAACTCCATATTAAAGCACTGTTAAGAGGTCAAACTTACGCAGCAACCTCCTCCTTCGACAGTCCTTTGAAATTCTTCTCCAGGTAATGATCTATGTCATCTTTCTCTTTGATCAGCTGAGCCCTAAATGAAGTAGAAAGAAATAATGAGGTACTGTCTGACCAAGCTGAAAAACTTCCAAACACGCAAAACGCTAGTAGGAGAGAGGTTGCATTTGGTGGTCAGTGGCGTCAACAGTTAATGTTGCGCCATGGCTGCAACCTTATGTTGTTTGGATCATTTCCAAAACCTTGAAGGGGACAAGATAGGAAAGAGCAGATCTAGCGGATTAAAGAAACATGTCAACGTAGTGCAACAGGTCATATGCCCGAGTAGAGGTGGTTTCTCTCAAAGCTTGCACTCTGCTCGGCACCCAGTCCTTGTCAACCGGCTACCTCCGCGTCAGCACTGATCAATTACAAAAGTGCATGCACCATCATGCCTGACTAAGAATTTACTTTATTTTTCTCATATCACACATAAATCTCAAATTACTGAGATTCAAGATGCAAAAAATTTGAGAGACTTTATTGACAAATGTGTTCATTAACACGCTCTACTTTTGTAAAAACAAATACACTTTAAGTTTCCAGAACCCTGTGGGTATGGTATTAAATATCCCCACATAGTCATGTTTTACTTATAGAATTCTATTTAAAGAATGTTTCGAAAAACTCTTCCCTGAATAGTAAAAAAAAATTTTCTTTAATAGAAATTTTAAAAAATCTGCTAAGTGACAATCAGTTAGTTGTGTTTATTGCTCACTTTGAAAGTAAAATGTAATCTTAATCACTGAAAAAAGCCAGACAGAACAAGCTTTTTGATTTTGTAAATATTTAAAAAATTAAAGAACACACACATACATTTGTGCATGTACCATTGAAATATTTCTCAGCTTCCTAAAACCAAGCATTTGATTTGGAATTTTAAAAGAATGTTTGTGTTGGAGTGGTTATTAATTTGCTTTGGTCCAGGGGCATTGGTCTTTCTAAGAAATACTGAAAATGAGATATGAAAAAAATCTTGTAATAATTTGATTGCTATACTTTGCAGGAAGTGACACAAATGAACAAAAAGAAAATAGCCAAAGGTACATATGCAAATTATTTCCAGCCACAAGCAATATGTCTATTTTCTAAAAATCAATACACTGACAAATGGCAACTTCAAAACATCTCAGTACCGTTAATAGTCATAAAACTGATAAACGCAGCATTTTCATCTTCTGCATTTTGTGACAACTCTAGGAGCTTGGTAGCCTTTCCCCAGCAGCGGCGGCAGCATGGAGATGCATTTTCACAGTCCATTGTCATTTCATGAGCTCAATCTTCCTGCCAATCTGCCCCACTAGGAAGCATGCATCCTATTAGGATACAGCCCTCTGAAACAGAAGTCAGGGTTTGGAACTTTGTGAGCTAAAAGCCACGTTTCTGTCTTAAATCTCCTGCTTTATTCCTGCTGTGCCTATTTTAGAAAGAAAACACCTCGAAATTCTGTAGAAAACATGAAATAATCTCATAGGAAATGAACTGATTAAATGGCCACTAGCTTGGTAAATACTGGTTGTATTGAGTAACGTTCATTAAGCCTTTCAAAACAGTGAATGTGAACATTTGACGATAACAATGTTTTATCTCTTTTCCTTACAAAACTGAAATTTTTGAGGTGTATTACTGACATCCAGGACTGCAGGAGTTGTGCTCGGTAGGGTGAGAACGAGAAGTAGGGATGCATACCTTGGAATTGTTCTTGGAGAGCATGGCAGTTTCTCCCTGGCTAAGATTGCAAGCCTCGTACGAGTCACAGGAACTGGGGGAAAGGCGGACATTGGGGACTGCAAAATGTAAGCAGAAAGGGCTGTTTTAAAAAGATGGCTTCAAAGAATCCATGAAGACAGACATCATTAGCAATGCACTGTGTGCTGTCTGAGGTGAGGCTGCCTCTGCATGTGGAGCCATTGCTTTGGTTAGGTGGGAAAGGTACTGAGGGGGCTGATTCTGCAGGCTGCACCCCCCCCATCCTTTTCTACTGTCTGTCTTTGGACGATTGTCTGTATCTCTCCACCAAAGTGGCTCAGGAGAAAATCGTAAATGTGTCTGTGGTTCAGCTTTGTTACTAGTCCTGTTGAGGGGCTTGCTTGCAATGCAAGAAGAAAGCCTGTGGGTTCCAGGATTCCTGCTTTGCCTCCTGTTACAGCGTGCAGCTGAGAATGCAGCAGACTTTGCTATTTTCTAGAAACCTCAGCACTCACAAATAAAGGCTCCTCTAAAGTGATGGACGATAAGAGTGGTTCTCAGGAAGGAGGCAGAGAGCTGAAACACATAATGCAGAAAGTCATTTCAAAATGCACTGGTAAAATCAAAAACACCAACGACAATTTATGCTGGAGAGGATGTGGTGAAAGGGGAACACTCCTCCACTGCTGGTGGAGAGATCAGAGGTGTGAGATTCCCCTGGAGCTGGGGTATAGGCAGCTGTAAGCAACCTGGTGTGGGTGCTGGGAACCAAACTCAGGTCCTCGGAAACAACAGTATGTGCTCCTGACCACTGAGTCATCTCTCCAGTCCCGGCTTCAGGATTGCTCCAAAGGCGAGTACCCCAGTGGAATGAAGAAGCCGAGTCCCTCCTAGGGCAGGCCCGCGGCCCTCACAGCATCACTTCCAGCAGTGACAAGCCTGTCCAGGCACAGGTCATGTGCCCCTCCACCTGAGGGAGACTGTCAGTCCTACGTCAAGAAGAGGATGGGGTTAAGAGCGATGGTGGCAGTCCTTTTCTGAAATGCATTGTGCCTTAGTCATGAGCATTGATAAAGGAAAGAGTGAAGTTGCTGAGACTTTGTCCCCAAAGAAAGAAAGGTGGGTCCTGGTGTTTGGAGGACCTACAGTAGAGACTGTGTGCTCTGTAGTAGAACTACCATGTGAGGCCTTGAATGTTCATCAGATCATTCGCTTTGCGATGGCTACTGTTCACGGCGCTGAAGAGACAATGTCCAGCAAAAAGACAAAGGCCGCTGGCCTCGTGAAATTTCCATTATGGGGGTGGATTTTGAGAAAAACAGGTGTCAGTTACACAAGCATAATAAATAGACCACAGCATGGTGACAAAAAGACTTCATAGGAAAGACACAACACAACGCTAAGCAATAGTGGAGACTAAATAAGACGAGAAGGCAATGAAGTTAAAATTTAGGGAGGCAGAGTCTTGAAGTTGCTGTGGAAACTGTCGCATTTTCTTGATTGACATGAGAAGTGACTTGGGTACTCTTTCCACTGTAGATGCTCCAGATAGCAGGACCCACCCTGCTTCCTTTGGGGTGACAGAATCTCAACTTCACTTTGAAAAGTTTACCCTGGTTTCTCCTGAAGTCATAGGGTGAGGAGTGTTGGGGTGCAGATAGGCTGCCACGGAGGCTTCCGTAGGAAGAAGTAGAGCTGAGAGATGCAGTCAGACCCGAGACAGAGCCATCCACACAGGGCAGCACGGCAATGTCGTGGCAATATAGGACTGGGGGATGGGTGGAGGAAACACTAAAAACTGAAGGAATTTTGTAAAAGTCAATATTTATAGGCTTGGTCTCATGTTCCTAAAAAAAGATTATCACATTGGACTAAATTTTTTTCATAATTAAAGAGATAATTTAAATACAGATTAGTGTTTTATTTTTGATACACTAGTATCCTATTACCCTGTTTATGCAGACTTGATTAACTGCATGAATCATATATAAGGCACCTTTTTCCATGCATTTATAGCCTGTGCATAATATGCAGCACACAGTCTAAACACAAAGTATTGTCTTTTTCTGAAAAATAAGCAACAGATGTAGATGTTATTACAAGGGATAACCTCATAATACAATGACTTAGTGCAGTTACAAGTCCTTACCCATCTACCCCTAATGGAATTCTATGGGAAGTGAAGATAACTATCACTTCCTCCGTTCAGCACATCCGCATACCATGAAGGAATACATCCTGATACCCCATTCTGCTCTCCAGAGCATCGTTGCATGGCATGGGAGCCAGGAAGTCCACATGGTGACAGAACCTTTAAAAGATCCACTGAGGATTTTCTCAGATGCTGTGTGCAGGCAGATAGAGCAGCTTCCAGAAGCCCCAGGATGGCCAGCATACCCTACCAAGGTGCATATAACCTCGTCACCCCTCAAAGTGGGCCTTCCAGTGTAGCATACAAAACCAAGGGAGTTGGCTGAATTTTGTCAGGAAATATAGGCATATAATGAAATCAAATGCAAATGATATACATGGAAAAGAATATCTTCTTTGTCACACAGATCAACTGCAATTTTTTTTTCAAATTCTAAGTCAACGTTTCCCGGCATTAAAGTTTCAGCTGCCAGCTCCTTCATTTTGCTCTCCTCTGATCTGAGAACGTGAGCAGCGGGAACACCTTTACTCTTAAATTTAGTGTAATGTAAGTATTGCAGGCCCTGCTGGCAAGCCTCGAGGCACAAACTCCGAATGAGGCGTGGTCAGGACTGAATTATAACGTGGGGAAGGAAGTTATTAACTGCGTGTTGGAAAGATGTTGCACAACCCCTCTCTGCTGGAAAGTTGGAGCTAAACGTTAGGGTGGGCTCCTGGCAGCCTCTCTCCTTGTTCTAAGCCCGCTTCCTACCTTGCCTATGCTTTAGGCTCAAGTATTTTGTTTTTCATAATGCATGTGTGGTCACCACTGTATCCATTAATACAATAAATGGCGTGCAGTTTGAATTACATCTTCACGTGGGACTTGAAATATACGCACCATGCAGTGTAACCCTGGACCCAATTATCTTCCTAAGTAACTGCCCTCTCTTTCATGCCTTAGAAGCTTGGTCTTCTTTATACCGGCATTTATTAAAGAAGGAGGTAGTTGCATTCTTACAAGCAACAGGGGCCACGGAGGACTGGCGTAGTCGGGGCGGGGTGGAAGGGGTGGGAGATGCCAATATGTGTAGGAAGCTATCATTTCAGGGTTTGGTTTTGTTGTAGAGTGACAAAAGCCTCTTGTTCACTGTCAACATGGCTCCCATCTGTCCCAGCCCCTGGTGCTCTAATCTCAACTCGGTAATGAGGAACTTAGTTCATTCCTTCTGTATGCCACCTGCCTGGGTCAGCGTTAAAAAACGAAGCCAGCCCAAACTCTTGGCCAACAGGGTCCACCCCAACTCGTCCCCACAGAAGAAAGCTGCAGGAGGCTACTTCTGGGGCTAGTACAATGACTTGCTGAGTCCCTGGAACCCGGGCTGAAGCAGGGCTTCCGGGGGACCCAGGGGCAAGCCCCCCTCCCCGCCCGTGCCGGCCAATGGGCATGCTACACGTGGGACCACGGGGAGCTGAGACAAAGATCAAAAGGCCGCCCGGGGCTGTTCCACAGTTGGTATTCAGAAGAGATTTGGCACACCCTTTGATCTGCCTCCTGGTACTCCCATCAGCTGAGGTCACAGCCTCTACTTTTGGCCCCCACATACAAAGGCAAATGAGAATGGCGAAGCAGAGGATGAAAGAGTTGGGAGTTCCGGGTCAGGGGGAATGTGTCCTATGGTGTGAGTTTAAGTTTCTGGCCCCCTGGTGAAACTTCAAAGAGTAACCCTCCTGCCCACTCCCCCTTGACACGTCCACGACGGGAACCACAAAGGAGGGCAGGGGTCTGTGTCCGCGGTGGCTGTTTGGAGAGGGACTGGGTCTAGGTGACTAATTCTCCAGGTCCAACCACGGTACAGTGAAGCCGAGGTGGGAGACAAAGCCCAACTCCGGCAAACAAGTTTATTATGTATCACCAAGAGAGCTCAAAATAATTCCCACCAGCGACACAGTATCATTCTTAAGGTTTGGAAAATTTGTATAAGAATTCTTTTGCTACAAAAGATGAAAGGAACTACAGGATGTATTTAATACTTTATACCACTTACAGGAGTGAAAACCGAGTTCACATAAATAAGTTTAAAGTTTTTTGGACCCTCCTAGCGCCTTGTGGTGGACAATTGGATAGGCTGTGAAATAAATAGATGTCACACATTTCCCACCGCCTGACACTTCCTAGTGGCCCAATCAAAGCGTCAGGTAGAGGGTAGGACGTATTTCATCCAACTTACATTTGCAGATAACGGATCTCTCTGGGTCCTCAGGCGGCAGTCTGAAAAATCAGCAAGCAAAATGCAACAGTAAAGGAAAGAAAAAAAATTACTCAGTAAAAAGAATTCCTCTGAGCTCCCCACTTCAAGAAACAAAACTCATTCAGACCGTTAAGTGAGTAAATTAGTAAAAGTACTGTGTACCTAGTCTATATTTAGATGAACTAAAAAGTGAGTCAGCCCAATTAGTTGCTATTAATCACGAGTTCAACAAAACACGCCCCAGGCAGCAGAAATATGTGTGTGTTGACACAGCACAACTCTCGCTCGTTGTGAGACTGAGCTGTTTATAACGACAACTGAGAACGGAGACTGCCTTCAATTCTGTTTCCACGCACCTCTAAGCAGGCCTGGTGTGCCTGTTCCCGCATCTGTCCTTCCTTAGTGGGCCAGGAGGTGTCTAGAAGAGGGCCTTCTGCTCCCCTAGGGAGAGGTTGATTCTGGAGGAGGGTCTCGGGAAGCTGGAGGCCCAGTAATGGAGGCAGGGGTCCTGGGATGGAAGAGCAGCCCTTTCTCCGGGAGCTGACCAGGTCCTGTCCCCAGCCTTGTCCCACAAACCTCAAAAAACTGGCTCTGGGGACAACTGCGGCTCTGTGTCCCCTGACTAAGTTCCGGGTGCCTTGCGCCAGCTTGGCCTCTTTTCCCGGGTCAGTGGCCTGGCTAGGTGCAAGACCGGGACGCTGAGAGCGTCTCCTGGGAAACAGAGGGGCGTGGTGGGAGGGCGGGGCCGGAGCTAAGCTAAATGGGCTTTGGGATTGGGCAGCTCCGAGACACTTTTAGCATGGGGGCGGTGCTCGGAGGGTTGTTGATGAGTGGGCGTGGCAAGCAGGAGGAGCTGGGTTCTCAAGTGGACTGGCCTGAGAAATCTCAACATTGCAAGGACCTTCATTTTGAGAAAGCCTCCGAGTTGCTTCCTGTAGGGCTCCGCTTTCTCTCAAGATTTCTCAGCATTTCCCCTTTGTCCACAAGATTAGTAGAAAACCCACAGATGGGTACCCAAGATCTCCATTAGCCGGATGAAACCACCCATTGAAATAAAACAGCAATTGTCCTCTTACTCTGGGATGTCATATATACCGAGAGGACTTTGCCAAACTCGTATTTAGAAAGATAACCCGACTTTGAGCTGTGATTAGTTAAGAAGTCTAAGGGCTCTTTAAATTACGCTGTCCCTTGCTTTCATTTCTGAAACTTGGAATTTTTCATTTTTTCCCTAACGGGTCATGCCGTTTAACTTCTGCCTATCGTCCTGTCTTTTTCTGCCACTTGTATCTACCAAGAGCTTTCTTGCACTTTCTCTCATACATAGAGTAGGACCAGAGCTTACGGCTTCTCCCACAGCACCACGCTGGGAAATAACTGCCTGTTGTCACACATTGGGTGAGTTAGCCAGCACCGCGGCCCACCCACATCACTTTCCCATACATTCTTTCTGTCTGCAGCATACTCATACAGCCATAGCCACGTTTTCATTCCCACATCTGATTTTCTGCAGTAAATCACTGCATCATTTCCACTAGCTAAGTTTAGACGGTGAATTTAATTGCTGCATTCAGTTGAACATTCAGTTGATCAGTGTGACTGCCTGTAGCCAGCGCCCCCTCCAGTCCACGCCAGGAGGACCTCCTGTGTTCTCATGAACTCATTTTCTAGCTCTCAAAACCGCCTTAGCAAAACTCCGTTTGACCCGTGTGGATTCTCTCTTGACTCTGTTCTCACTGGCCTTTCTGCACAGGAGATTTGTGAGTTCCACTTCCTGTCCTGACAGGTAACAATGACCTGTTAGCTGGAGGTCTAGAAACTCTGTCCTGCCTGTTTGGATTTGTTCCCCCTGCTCGCTGTCCCCAACCCACTGGAAGTTCTACAACAGAATCCTTCTGAACGGAAGGAAAATGCAGTCAGAGAACTTTGTAAGTGACAGAAAATTCAAACTGACTAATGCTAAATAAATAAATAAATAAATAAACAGCAGACCATTTCTCCCAGGAGAAGGTGCTGACTTCAGGCACCATTTTTCTCCGGGTACATGGGCCTTCTGGAAGCATTGGGGATTTCAGGACAAGCCTGTCTTTATCCACACAAAATTAATCTGTCTTTACCCTTTCCACCCACAGACGTCTTTATGAGCCCCTCTCCCCTCACAGTGCGAGCCCCCTGTAAGTGTGGGCTTTAGTCTTTCCTTTTTCATGTCTCATTCCCTGAACTAGCACAGAGGACGGGGACTGGGGTGTGGTGTCTGCTCACATAGGTTTCAAATTAACGGAATGATGACAGGATAGACAGAAGTTCCTCCAGCTGATTCCTCTTCCTCGGTTAGACTTTGAAGGGGGATGGGAGCAGGTACAAATGGCCATGGAAGCTGTTACTGACCTGCTGCATGCAAGGCACCCTCTGGCCTTTGCTCTGAAGACAGGGGTTTAGGATATGCCAGAACTCCCCCAGATGGAAGTTCTACTCCTCCAGTGGATGCCCCCCATTCTAGCCCTCCCTATAATAGATCTCAACGTGCTTTTGACACCTCACTTATCAATTCCAATAGGAACACTTTCCCAAATCCTTCTTGTTTGACTTGTGTGTTTACTGCAACACTGAAGAAAGAATATTCTAGGCAATTTGAGTTCTTTTGGGCTGACATTGTCCTTCTTGTCCCATTGGCAAAGTGTACATCCTTAATACTTAGAAGTACCCCTTTCCTTTACCTAGACCCAGCACTCATGATGAGAACTCCAAAACCCATTTCCTTGTCTCTCCTTCTTATGTGACCTCCTAAGAAGACCTATGTTGTCAGCGACAATCACAGATGTCAGTGGTCTAAAACATCAAAGCCATTCCCGCATTCCACTATGAACTGTCACAATCAGCCTTGGGTTTTGCTCCATGCCACTGTCGCAGGAGAACTGGGCTGAAAGGAGCGTCACCTGCAGCATGACTTGCCTGTGGCAGAGAGACGGTAACGGAAGAAAATTGGCCATCAGCTTCAAAGGCTTCATTTAGAACAGGAGCCAAGGATTCCTCTCACATTTCATTGGCCACAACTCATGCGGTTCTGCGCAACTGTAAGAAATGAGGAAACTGTCACCCAAACACCTATCAGGGACAGGTCACAGTGACTATTTCCAATGAGACCTTATATATCTGAGGCTGGCCTTGAACACCTGAACCTCCTGAGTGATAGGTATACAGGTGTGCTTCACCAGACCTGGCTAATTCTCTTTTACACTTTTTATTTAAATGTTTCATTAGGTTCTGGAGGCAGAGTCCTTCAGTCAATTTCCTACATACTCCCACGAATTTAGATAATTATAAGCTATTACTTTAAAAGTACTTTCCTTTTTAAATGCTTTCTTCTATGATACTATTTATTAATATTGAGATCCCTGACTTGAATTTTTAACCCCTGATGAATATGTTATTTCATTTTCGTTGTTTTTTTTAACTATTTCGTTACATTATCTGTAAGGTTTTTTAAAATATCATTTGTCAGTCCCTTATTGATGCTTTTGCATATGGAAACAATCATATGTTTAGTATGTGAAAGCTCTCTTATATTGCTCTTTTAGACTTGTTTTGTTTTTCAAGACAGGGTTTCACTATGTAGCCCTGGCTGTCCTGGAACTCTATATGTAGATCAGGTTGACCTCGAACTCAGGGATCCACTTGCCTCTGCTTCACAAGTGCTGGGATGAAAGGTGTTCACCACCACTCTCTGGCTTAGATTTTATTTATTTATTTATTTATTTATTTATTTATTTATGTGTGTGTGTGTGTGTGTGTGTGTGTGTGTGTGTGTGTACGGAGAGGTCAGAGAACAACCTGGGTGAGTTAGCTCTTTCTTCTTCTTCCATTGTGTGTGACTCAAGGATCAAACTAACTAAGTTCCGGGGACTTAGAGACAAATGTTTTACCGCTGACTGTCTCACTGCTCCAGGGCAGCCTTCCAGGGGGAGGTACTGGGCAGCCGCTCAGGGCCTCCCTGTACATATTACCTGCAGTATACCACTGAGCTCTGCTGCCACTGCTTCTAATAGACTCTTTTTCCTGAACAGAATCTCTTCTCAGTCATCACCGAATACGGATTCTTAAGGCTGTGCTCTTTCTATAAATTGCATTTGCCTGCAGGAACGTTTTCTTTTGCTTAATGTTAGTAGTTTTACATAGCTTATTATTCTTGGCTGCCACAGTGATTATCAGTAGGTTCATCTGCCAGGAGCAGAAATCAACAGTACCAGAACTGAAACAATAGCCCAACCTCTGGTTTACAGCTTAACTAGGTATGGTGTCCATTCTCAAGACGGTCTTCTGCAATCCAGCCGCAGCATCTGAATTTTATCTGAGGGATGCGCACACAGGAGGATAATGGCACACTCATCCCAATCGCTGCTTCCTTTATCCCACCATCAAGGGCTTCACCACATTGCCGCTTTAAGCTTCAAGAGCAGGTGGGAAAATGTCAGCTATGTTTCAAATGTACACATGCATGCTTTGGAATTTGAAGTCTGAATAGCAAGCAAAGCAAAACAAAACAACAACAACAACAACAACAACAAAAAAAACCACAAAGGCACGATAACATTTGCCATTTATTCCATGCAAGCAGTGGCCTCCTTAGAAGGTAATTACTGCCAAAAAGTCATTGTTGTGATTCTGGCTACCTTGATCTCAGATTCTCCCTTGGTCCCTGGAGTTCCCAGGCCGAGCTTTTCAAGTTCTTATCTCTTTCCCTTAGGCAGACTCAGCTACAGTATATTTTATGATTTGGAATTGCTTGGAAAACCATATGTGGGGTCCACAGACTGCATTGTGGACCCTATGTACTATTTTAGATAAGTCTATTTACTGCTTCTCTCTCTTTCTTCCCCCACCCGGTGTGTGCGTGTCAGAGAGAGAGAGAGAGAGAGAGAGAGAGAGAGAGAGAGAGAGAGAGAGAGAGAGAGAGAGACAGAGAGACAGAGAGAGAGACAGAGAGAGAGAGACAGAGAGAGAGAGAGAATAATGATTAAAGTAGAGGGAATGAATTTGAGAGGGAGTGGGGGCATAGGAAGTATGGGGGAGAAAAGGGTTGGAAATGATTGAAGTACGGCAATCACGTATGCAATTCTCAACAAATTAAATGCAGCACAAATACTGTTTTGCTGGGGGAATTCATACTTGAAAAATAACAGCTAAAAATTCCTTGAATGTTCCCATATAAGCTCCAGGTTTGCTGGACGAAACAGATGGAGAGAAGCTGGTTAAGCTGACAGTGACTGTACTGTTTCTGCTGGCACCTTTTGGAGGAGCAAAGTCATGTGTAGCACACACTGTCCCCACCTGTGTGTCACTGGATAAGATGAGAACAATTTGCCTAACAGGGCGAACTGCACTTTTATTTTCCAGTGTAGTGGAATTCGTCAACTGCAATGTAGACTATAAGAGACTTACTTTTCTGTCTCTGTCTCTGTCTCTCTGTCTCTCTGTCTCTGTGTCTCTGTCTTTCTGTCTGTCTGTCTGTCTGTCTGTCTGTCTGTCTCTCTCTCTCTCTCCCCGGCCCCCCACCCTCCAACACACACAATCATGGTGGCTCACCACCCTGATAAGTACTTAGAAGCCTGGGAGAGTAAGAAGTAGCTGGTGTCCTCCATGTATATTGGGATGCAGTAATCTTTCATCTCAGTGACATCTGCTAAGGGGTGATCATAAAATGGCTGGACACTACAAA